CGTGAGTGTGTACATCTTGTAATCTTTTCTGACTTGCCGGTGGAATAGGAACCGGACTGACGCTCCCCAGAATGGAAATGGAGCCAGGGCCATAAGGACCTGTTTAAAAAATAAAAATAAAATAAAAAAGAATCAGAAATCAAAATAGGGAACGATCAACTATAACAAGGAAACAATAGAAAGAAAGAGAACAAAATTTACGGGTTTAAGGAAGCGAAAGAATAAGGTCTCCCGACAATAAGACCCACAGCTAGCTAGCACAAAAGACTACTCAAATAGAAGAGAACAGAAGCAGCCTCAAACACAATAGAGCCAAGCATAAGGGCGAAACCCTATGGCGGCAGGAAAAGACAGCTAGGATAATAAGCTCGGGATACGGAAACTTGGTGGAGGAAAGCTCAGGCCATAAGAGCCAAAAACAATCACGTCAACCCCACCAACAGAACACAGAATAACCTTACCACCTACCAGGCATAACAAAAAGAACCACGAGAGCCCTACCCCTCGTTGGGTTTCTAAATGGCTATACCAGCAAGAACAGAAACGACCTACAAGAGCACGGCCCGTGCAGATTCTCACCACGGGAGCTAGGGTTTAGGGTTTTAGTAAGGAACACAGCAAATACAGCCCCACAGAGCACAGCCCATACAGATTTTCACCATACGAGGATGCATCAGCAGTTCCAGCACTAGAAAAATCCAGAAACGGGTAGAGAGAGAGTAAGGGGTTAGGGTTTAGCGTGTAGGGCATAGGCCTTGGAACCTATCTACAACTTGAGACTTATAGAAAAATTCAAAACATTACCAATGCCGGACCCCCTAAGGTCCTATCTACTTAGCAAAACCAACAGTTAATGAGTCTGGCCAGTAACTTCAGTACTTAATTCTGATCCGGCAGCCGAACAGCTGAGAGGAGTAAGCTAGTCAAGACCTATGCAGACACGCCACAAACCACAAACAGAAGTAGCAGAACCCAGCCTACCCGTCCACTCAGGCCTCCCAGCCATAATGGGGAGGAGCGGATGTGTATCCTTATTGTATTCATCATTGACTTGCCGGGGGAATAGGAACCGGACTGTTGCTCCTCAGAATGGTAGGAGCCAGAAAGTTGGGGTTCTGTTTAAAAAAAAAAAAAAAAAAAAAAACTTGAGATACATGGTAAACACTCTCACGCTTCCTTCCGTATGGCCGAAGGAACCCTGACCAGCATTAATTGC